GTGTGTGTGTGTGTGTGTGTGAGAGAGAGAGAGAGAGAGAGAGAGAGAGAGAAATAGGGAGAGAGGGAGGGAGAGTTGTGCTTGGCTGCATTTCTATTTAAATGTTTTTTCTTATTGATTTGTATGATAATTGCTAATATTTTCCTAGCTTTTCACATGTTAACTTCATTTAGTGATATTTTACCCACACAGAGTAATCTTTTTTGCACTATTTCTGCCTTCATTACCATGGTTAGGAAAGACTTTCTATGCCAAGATTATAAAACCAATAATCCATCTGTATTTCTGAGCCTTTTATGGATCTGTGTCTCACAATCTACATTTAATCCATCTGGAGGTTATCTTGGTGTTAGCATAAAATGACCAAGCCGGGTGCAAACTTCACAGATCAGCACAGCTTTTATTCAGCAATGAAATCATACATGTGACGGACCCACTTTCCTAGTAGGAAATGAGCTGCTGGCCAAAGGGGAAGTCTGGCTTATATGGTTACACTGGGAGATGACTTAATTATTGACAGAGCATGTCAGTTTGAGCACTCAGAAAAGAGATTTGTTTTTTACTGGGCAATGTTGTGAGAACTTGAGATTTGTTTTTACTGGGTAATATTTTGACTTGGAGAAAATGGAGGGTCTGGGGTCAGTGGTCAGTATTTATCTCTTTCCCTCCAAGGTCCCATTGCACTGTCACTGGGAAAGGATTTATTTTGGGAAGGATCAATGCTTTGGCCTCCTCCCAGAGGCTGTCATTCTAGGCTTGATGGATATCTCCTCCCCAGGGATTGTCTTGCCACTGGGAAAGAACATATTGGGAAATGATCAATGTAATCAGTGTTACCTTCTTCCTCACTCCCTCTTCCCAGGCCACACTATTTTGTGGTTTGTCATTTTCCATATCTTATATTGGTATAGTAATTAAGTAAACATTTAACTTTACTTTTCCCTGCAAATGGCTGGACTTCTGTCATACCACCATCTATTGAATTATTTTTCCTTCCCCTAACATTTTGAAATGGCTGTGAAGTTTGAGGAATAATTTTGTGACAAGCTTTCAACCCTACACTGCTGATAGGATTTTCCTTTAGCCCTCACTGAACACCCTCCTTCCTGCTAATTGCCTTCAAATGTGGGTTGTGACTGAGGACCTGGTCCCATTTAGGAACTTGGCAAAGACTGGTGTCTATCTAGGGAGATCTGGGTCTCATCTGAATCTCATCAACTCCAGTCCTAACCACTCTTTTCCCCACTTTCCATTCAATGTATCCACTTTCCTGAGACCACTTAAGGAAATTTTTGTAGATTTAGGAGAGAAACATGACTATAGTTCCACTTCATAGCCACCTTTTCCCACCAAATACTTGGCATCTACCTTCATCGCAGTATCTGAAACTTGTCCTACTCCTACAGCTGGTCTTGGCTTCAATGGGACCAATATAACTGGAGTGACTTCAAGATACTTGATGCTGGATTGGGGTTGTTGTGTTCACCTAGCAGTGTGAGGCCCTGGGTTCAATCCTCAGCACCACATGTAAAAAATAAATTTAAAAAAGATATTGTGTCCAACTACAACTAAAAAATAAACATTTAAAAAACAAAAGATACTTGGTGCTATTTATCAGCAGGGGAAACATTCCTAGCCCTCCTGAGGGAGGGCACATGAATCCTCACCCACACAGAGCTCTGGGGAATGGAGAGCAATTACACAGGACTACCTCAACAGACACAAAGACTGGGCTTTGGAGAATAGTAATGTCTGTTTGTGACTGCTCCAGAAATAACAGAAAGAGAGGTGATTGTGAAGGAGGCAATCCAGGAATCTTTGCAGTGCTGCTGAGGTGCCCTCCAGGAATGGTGAGCTTCTGGGCAGTAGCAGCTTGGAATTGGATTCTGACCAGAGTTTGAGGAAGGTGGTGTGTTTCTGTTCTGTCTACAATGTCAGTACCCTCTCGAAAAAGCAGAGAGGATGTCTTGCTCCCATTTGTGTTTCCAGCACTTAGCACAGCACCTGACACTTAAAATGGACTCAACTCAATGTTGAATAAAATGATTCATTAGCAATATTAATAACATTTAGGAATCAGCATTATTTCCATAACACAAAAGCATATTTGTGAAATTAAATATTTCTTTTGTCTAATTGATATGTGGCTTTGGAGTAGAGAACAAGCTCATAGTAACAGGAAGAGTTCCTGTGAAGCCCTGCATTCAACAGGATAGAAAAGAATACTGAGTGTGGGACTGGGGCCGTAGCTCAGTGGTAGAGCACCTGCCTCGCATGTGTGAGGCCCTAGGTTCAATCTTCAGCACCCCATAAAAATAAATAGATATTGTGTCCATCTACAACTAAAAAAATAATAATAATAATTAAAAAAGAGAAAAAGAATACTGAGTGAGTATTGTGGAGGCAGGGATCCCCAAAGCAGTACAGTTCACCATGAAAGAGTGCTCCAAGAGGAAGCCAGGATCTTGTAAAAGTATATTCGAAGGCGGCTTAAAGCATTTTATAGAGCCTTTATATCATGGGATGTTCACAAACAACCATGTACCCTCCCAAGGCCAAGGACTTGGCTGCCTGTGTTCTTGTCTTTCTTCAGAGAAGCCCCGTGAAAAAGGGTTCCTGCCCCAGGTGCTGAATCATTTTCAGGATTCATAATTCTCAATTCTTCAGTCACATCTTTATTTAAGAAGAAAGATTTGAGTTGTTACTCTAGGAAATAGTTTTTTCTCTCCGTAATCCTTAGGTCCACGTATTTGTACTGCATTCAAGAAGTTCTACTCTTTGCCCTCAAGACGCGAGGTCGCCGGCCATGCCCAGATGCATCCTCCAGGCTCTGCGCCCCAGCTTCCCACCGTACCCAGAATCCCAAAGCTCGTCAGTGGTGGCGTCTACACGGAATTCAAGACAATCCGCTGCCTGATGGTATCTCACCCTTTATTCCTAGTAAGAATTCTTATTAAATGGATCGGAAGTGTGTTCCAAATTCTTCTACATTTTAAACGCTACTCCGGTTTCAGACACCCAATGACAGAACACTTAAATCTTTGCCCACGCAGTGACTCAACATATAACTTCTGAGAACCAGAGGCTTAATCACCTGCTTCGCCCCAGGACTTTTCCTCTCTCGAAACCCTGCCAACAGGGTTTCCTATGTGCCGGGCTTCCTAGCCTAAGGGGGGGTCCCACGCAGCGTTCACCCCAGGGCGCACTTTCACCCCACGCCGCTCCCACCTCAGGTCTCGCGCGCCGCAGACTACGCTTCCCACAGTGCCCCGGGCCGCGCGCGGGCTCCTGGGAGCTGTGGTCCGGCCGCCGCGCGGCGCTGCTGAAGCGGGCTTAGCGCCGGCCTTTGTCTATCTGCGGGCGCGCGCCGCTGCGGTGAGTGAGGCCGCGGTCGGGTCCATGCGCCCGGGCGAGGCGGGGCCGCGCTGTCAGGCCGCCGCCCCTGGGCCCTCCGCGCGGCCGTGAGCAGGCCGGGCCCTGAGGGTAGCGGCCCGCGGCCCACAGAGAAGCGTCCACTGGGCTGGAAGCAGGAGGCTGAGTCCAGGACGCGGGGCGGGCCTGGGGGCCTGCGGCAGGCGGGGAGGGTCTGCAGCGCGTAGCTGGGCCCCTAGGACTGCGGTGTCGGCAGGGCTAGGCGTTTGCGAAGGCACAGCATTCTGCAGAGGGAAGGGACACAGGCAGGTGCACACCCGCCGTGAGGGTTCCATAGAGGGACCGGAAGAAGACACGGGCCCCTAGGGAGGTGAGGAGACCCTTCTGGGTGGAAAATAGGGAAAAGATAAACTGGAGTTGGGTGTGTGCACACACACACACACACACACACACAAGCTACTAATTCTGGAACTCTACCCCAAGAGGCCCCCCAGATGAGAACTCTAGATCTTAGGCCTTAAATCTGTAGACCCAGTTAGAGATCTAACATTTAGCTCTTCTGTTCTCCCAGGAGCTACTTGATAAGAAGGATATTAATCTATTCAGTAAATGGGGTAATGGAGTCAGAGCAGATTGGTTATTTGCCCAGGTCAAACACTGAGGAAGCGAAGGCAAAAGTCCCAGTTTCTAGGGACCTAATTCTGAGCTTTTTTCAAAGGATTCTATGCATTTCTGATAGGAAAAGCAGTGTATTCTGTTATAAAACCAGTTTCTTCCAGAATTTGATTCTTCAGAGAGAGGACAATGACAATTACCCCCTTATTAACCAAGAAGGTTCTGGAGACACAACTGAATTGTTATTTGTTGAAGACCTCACAGGACGTGGAGATGGAGAGTTGTAGGTTCTACCCACTTGATCTGACTAAAGCCTATTTCCTGGAGTCCTCAATAACAAGAGTCCATCCCCATGCAGCAGGTACCATGTAGTTTTCCAGTGACTCTTGGTGGATGTGCAGTTGTTGATCAGTAATACCTTGAACTCTCAAGTGAATTTGCTGGCACTTTGAACAAGTTGGAAGTGCATCCTCCAAGTAAGAGTTCCTAGTCATCACAACATATAGCTAAATATGCAGTTGTCAAGAATGCCCAGGTTAACAAGACAAAGAATTGTAGTATCATAATACTAATTCCTTAAATCAGGATAGGACATATTAGAGAAACAAAGATTATACATTAAACCATTACATAAATAAAGTATAACAGTTCAGAAATTAGGGTCCTGAAGTTAGAAGGAATATTCCAAAAGGGAAAAAGTAGAGCAGGAGAGGGGTGGGCCTGGGTCTAGAACTTCCTAAGAATTATTCAAAGGTAACATGAAATCCCTTATTTGGTTCTTATAATCTAAGAGAAACTGGACAGGAGCCAGTTATGAAAGCTGAAATGTTTTTTTAGGACTCTGAATTCTTTGGGGCTTAGAAAATAACAGGCAGCAGTTAGGAAATGGAAGATCCCATTCTCATGCCAAAATCAAAATACAAACAGGAGTGACCATTAAATGGGGAAAAAATATATATATTTGTGTTCTTTGCTTTCCTGCCTCCTATTTCCTTCTAGACTCATGTCTGTGTTATCCTTTTGTCTTTGAACGCATTTTACAGTGACATTATATATGATTATGTTATATCGAGCAATCAAAATGTCCTTTTTCTACTCAGTTCCTGTTTATCCTTTGCACTTAAAAATTCTGCCTTTTTCTGTTTGTTGTTTTGTTTTTGTTTTTCCCTCCTTAGGTGCTCAGGAACAGCCCATGGAAGAATTATATGAAGAGGTGGTGATTAAGATTATAGAGCAGGAGTGGACATGTTTGGATTTCCAACAGCTACCCTGCTGGACTGTCATGGAAGATATGCCCAGAATGTAGCATTTTTCAGTGAGTGAGTCCGCTGGTGGCTGGGATGTCTTCTGAACACAGATACTCAGAGTCCATGTCCTCAGCACTGGTCCTCAGTCTGAGGAAGCAGAGGAGACGTTCCTTTGATGGAGCTCACTATTCCTAGGGGTTACAGAAAAAGCCTGCAAGCTAGAGGGCTATGCTAGCCCTCGCATGCATAGAAATAGTCAGAACAGAGCAAGAGAACAGTCTAGACATGGAGGTAGACTCGAAGTAATATCAGAATGAGTGAGCACCTTTAACTGTCAGCACTATCACTGGATAAGAATAAAGCAGGAAATAAGGAGAAATTTTCCATAGGGAAAAAAAAAAACAGTGATGAATGGATCCATATTTAAAGCACATAAGAGGCTCAGATACAGGACAGTATTGGAAAATATTATTGATACCTACATATGAAGTTTGAGAATAACTTCCAAACCAAAATTTATTTTAGTTCCACCATAGCTTAAATAAACTAAAAATAGTATAGATTTTAAAGGAAGGAATTTGTTAGATTCTATAATTTCCTGACTATATTTTAATATCAGATAAATTACTTAACTTCCTTAAGCTCCAGGCCTTCATCTGTAAAATGGAACAATGAGTTCTGACTTGTACAGTTGCAGGTATTAAAGACAATAGACGTATAAAATCTAGGATTGTGCTACATATTTTCTAAGGTCATAGCGCTTACTCCACTCTTAAGAGCAAACTTAAGGAATAGGGTGGAATTGGGTTGACTTTTCATAGAACTAATACAGCTTGTGTGTCCGGAGCCCTTGCTTGCATTGGTCTCTTCAGGACCCTTTGCCCAATTTTGTACTTTTTTTTAAAGGGGTACCTCTAAAGTTTTAAAGCTTTAGACCCTTTACATCCTGGAACCACACCTGTTTAGGAATCAGATAAAGCTTGAGTACATGGCTCTTGTGTGATCCTGTATGTTTTCCTTGATTTTCAGAGCCTATTTTCTTACCTACAAAATAGAGGTAATTGTGTCTACCTCACAAGATTATTTGGAAGACTAAATTAAATGTAGAGGCAATACACAGCTATGGAGTATTCCAGTGTTTGAAACCCACCTCTAACTTATTTAGCTACATGGTCTTGACAACCTCCCTATGCTCTCTTTTCCTGATCTGTAGCAATCCCATAGGATTAAATTATTCCAGGATTAAATTATCTATGCAAAGTTCATAGTCTAATGCCTGGCACTTAATAAGCACTCAAACGATTGTGTTTCTATTTTCCATATTCTTCTCACTCAGCATATTGGTACCTCTTACATGACTTCCCTCTCATTTTATCAGATGTGATGACAGAAGCTCACCACAAATATGATCACTCTGAGGCCACAGGATCCTCAAGCTGGGATTTCCAGAATTCTTTCAGAAGAGAGAAGCTGGAACAAAAATCCCCAGATTCTAAGACACTACCGGAAGATTCACCTGGGGTGAGACAGAAGGTCTATGAGTGCCAAGAATGTGGAAAGTCCTTCAGGCAAAAAGGTAGTCTAACATTACATGAGAGAATTCACACTGGTCAGAAGCCCTTTGAGTGTACCCATTGTGGAAAAAGCTTCAGGGCCAAAGGCAATCTTGTTACACATCAGCGAATACACACGGGAGAGAAGCCTTATCAGTGCAAGGAGTGTGGGAAAAGCTTTAGTCAGCGTGGTAGTCTGGCCGTCCATGAGAGACTCCACACTGGACAGAAACCCTATGAGTGTGCCATTTGTCAAAGAAGCTTCAGGAATCAAAGTAACCTTGCTGTTCACCGAAGAGTTCACAGTGGTGAGAAGCCCTATAGATGTGATCAGTGTGGAAAAGCTTTCAGTCAGAAAGGAAGCTTAATTGTTCACATTAGAGTCCACACAGGTCTAAAACCCTATGCCTGTACCCAGTGCAGGAAGAGTTTCCACACCAGGGGGAATTGTATTCTGCATGGCAAAATCCACACAGGAGAGACACCCTATCTGTGTGGTCAATGTGGAAAAAGCTTCACTCAGAGAGGAAGTCTGGCTGTGCACCAGAGAAGCTGCTCACAAAGGCTCACCCTTTGACCATTCTATTCAAAGGAAGTTTTATTTCTGAATTAAGGGTACAAAACCCTCTGTTACTGAGCTGCATATCCAATTCTATGGAATGAATGGAGAACATTCCAGGAAAACCAGTAGGTTAAACAAACTTTTTTCCTTATCCTCAGATGAGTATGAAAAATAAATGTCTTGTTTATCATTATCATGCATTTTTCATAATTTGTCATGAATTTTTCATATTTTGACTTAATTTCCCAGGGTACCCTCATTATAATCTAGAGTCATACTAGAGATTGAGTATAGTAGATACAGATTTTAAATTTGTATTTGACACCATCGGCCTTTAAAAATATCAGCCCCTGATCAACCCCAAGGTCATTTTCTTCTCTACATATTCAAGTTAATAATTGTTTTGCATTCAAGACCAGTAGGTGGAACACAAGGGGCAGATTTAATTAAGAATTCTCTTTGAACATTTCATTACCTGGATAATGAATCATTACCCCAATAACCTATTCTAAAAAACCACTCTGTCCATAGCAGAAGCCCTAGCCTTTTCTTACAAAAGAAGTTTCCTTTCCAAGACTACAAAGGTTTGGAGTTTGTACATTAAGATTTCCTTCAGTCCTCCACTTCTAACAGTAATAATTTGCCGGTATCCTAAAGAGCTGACAAGTACAACTGTGCTCTTTTGAAGAATCCTGAACTGATTATTATGCCCTCTTAAAGGGACTTCTGTTCTCTGAAAAACATAATGATCCTCCCTGCCACTTTGGCAACAATAGCAACATATTGGGGTTAGGATCACCTAGAAAGGACATAAGTGTCCTTATTACTAAGCCTAGACTTTCAGTTTATAGTCAGTTATGACATCTCACTCTTCTAACAATACTATCCTTTTCCTTCTACACACAGAAAATAAATTTGGAAAGATAATTTGCTCTTTATTTTTTTCCCTCTAGTGTATGAGATTTGAAGAAGGTTGTAGAGAAGTTGGTTTTGTGAGGAATTTAGACTTCTAAATGCCAAAATTTCATGATAGCAAATCTTTATGATCTAGAGAAGTAAATGAAATCAAAGGGCATTATGGATTTGATTATTTTAAAAGAGTAGTACTCCCAGAGACATTCTGATAAAATTTGAAGATGTATGCAAGATTGTGATAATATCCTCATTTATGATAATCACACACCGGAAATTACACAAATGTCCAACAACAGGTGGGGAATGAACAAACTGTTTAATACTCATACAATAAAACAATAGCAATAAAAAAATCTGATATTGGCAACTTATGACTGAATTTCAGTCCATTGTTGAGTGAAAAAACCTAAATACACATACATGCAGATATAGTATATAATTCCATTTATATATATTCACATGAAAAAATGGGAATGATTTAGAACAGACACAAGAATTTTTTAAAGTGTTCTATACCTTACTTCAGGTGGTATATGGAAGAGTATAATTGTTAAAATTCATTGAAACCAACACTTGAGAACTATGCATTTTATTATATGTAAAATATATATCCATAACAATGAGTCATTTCTTAAATATAAATATTGCCCACAGGTTCTTTGACACTAATTCATGAAGAGATGGGGTAGATATCACCTTCCTTTTATCTGGATTGGCTGGTGACTGCTTCAAACAATAGAAACAACAAGTGATACTATATCACTTCCAAAGACAGGTCTGAAAAGCCCTTAAAAGTTTTGAAACAATTGCTGGGTTCTCTTGGGACACTTGCTCTTGGGGATCAGCCACCTTATAAGAACGGTTCAGAAACCACTATAGTACACAAGGTGCATATTAAGTGCTGCAGTCAACAGATTGAGCTGAGCTCCCAATAGATAGCCAGCATCAACTCCCAGCCACAGGAATGAGTTACTGCAAATGTTCAGCCCAGAAGAATCATCAGATTACTATAGCCTCGGCTGAGATCTGATCAATACTGCATAAGAGATCCCACAGTGTCAACCCACAGTGTCATATCCACACCATTGACTAGAGAATGTCCTCTCTAATCAATAAGCCCATTCATGTAGTAGCAGAATGCATTTCTTTGTGGTAATAGGATTGAGGCTCCCTCAATCTTACTGGCTACTGGCTGAAGTTTGTCCTAGGGCCATCTCATGTTCTAAGCTACCACATGGCAGTTTGCTTCTTTAAGTCCAACAGAAAAAAATTTCTCTCTCCAGTCTGCTAAGAATAGTCTTATGTGATACAGCTTAATCATAGCAGTGACATTCAATCATATTTGCTATTCCCTGTCAGTTTGAAATGTTGGTTCTACCCATACTCAGGATTATACAAGGGCATGACAGATTGGGAGTAACTTTAGTGTAATCATTTTCAAGGGCTTCCAGAACAAAGCATTACAAACTAGGCACCTTAAAAACAACAAAAACCTATCATCTGACAGTTATGGAGGCTAGGAATCCAAAATCCAGGATGTCTTCAAGGTCATGCACCATCTGAAGCTTGTTGGGCAGAATCCTTCCATGCTTCTTCTTAACTTTGGTTGGTTTGCTGGAAATCTTTGGTGTTCCTTGACCAGCTGCAAGACTTCATTTTCTTTCTGCATATGTAGTCACATGGTGTTCTCCCTCTGCCTGTGCCTCTATGTGTCTTTTTTTTATATGGACACCAGTCATATTGGATTATGGGCCCATCCTATTCCACTCTGGCCTCATTTTAACTACTTAAATCTGCAAAGACTATTAACAAATAGATAACATTCTGAAGTATTGGGAGATAGGACTTTTTGAAGAACACAAGTGAACCCATTCCACTTACCATGTGTCTACCACAGTATCAAAAACATTACTCTGAAGAAATTCATGTAGTTGTAACCTAGTGGTACTCCAACTACAGTTCAAGGGCATCAGCATCACCTGGAAACTTGTTAGAAATGCCAATTATCAGGCACAGATAGACCTACTGCATCAGAAAATGCAGGGAGTTAGAAAAAAAAGGGACAGCAATCTGTTTTAACAAGTACACATAATTTGACTCCCAAACTGATTAGATTCTCTAGTTTTGGGAGTCAAACAACCAAAACTCAAGGGGCTGGGGATGTGTCTCAAGTGGTAGCCCACTGGCCTGGCATGCGCGAGGCACTGGGTTTGATCCTCAGCACCACATAAAAATAAATAAAGATATTGTGTCCAACCCAAAACTCCTTTTAAGACAAAAGAACATAAAGAAAAATCTCAAATCATCAGGAAACCTGGAATGTCCTACCCTTTACAAAGAGCATCAAGAGAGTACATCCTCCTTTTCCATGCCCAATTCCTGATTGCTGAATTTTCCATTCAAGATTCAATGCCACCATAGATGACAAAAAGTCAATGTGAGCGGCTGGGGCTGTATCTCAGTGGCAGGGCACTTGCTTAGCATTTGTGAGATACTGGGTTTGATCCTTAGCACCACATAAAAAATAAACAAAGGCATGCTGTTCATCTACAACTATCAAAAAAAGAGAGAGACTTTTAAAAATAGTCAATGTGAATAAATAAATACAAGATTTCTGGCCTAATTTTTACTTCAAGTCAGAGGGAAGAGCACAGATCACCCATATCACCAAAAAGTCCCACATAACTCAAATGAACACTTCAATCTTCCCTTTGATCATCAGCACAAGCCTCTCCCAAACTCTTTTACCAGACCACCCACCAAGACAGCGAAAACCAGAGTGTCTGTGGCCCTGTCACTGGTTATTACTTTTCTTCACTTGCATTCATGGTCATTATGATGTCACTGCCATAGGATCAGGAACACAGTAACAGAATGAAATGTGTACAGTCCAGATGTTATTAAGACTTTTATTTCTGCAGTTCTGAATCCCACTTTACTTCTAGAGAGCCTTTAATTAAAAGTAAATCATTCCACAATTCTGCTTCCTTTACAGTTTGTATTATGCCATGGTTCAAATGTATTCCTATACGTACCAAATTTCATGTGTTGGAAACTTAATCTCCATATATTTATAGATTTTAAAAGAGGTTTAGATGAGATCATGAAGTTGGGGCCTCCATGATGGAATTAGTGGCTTTATGAGACAAGGAAGAGAAAAAGAGACCTGAGCTAGCATGCTTGTTCTCTTTCCATGGGGAACCTCCTGCCACATCATGTCATAAAATGCAGCAGGAAGGCCCCCACCAGATGCCAGCATCTTAATCTTGGAACTTCCCAGACTCCAGAAAATAAATTTGTTTATAAATTACACAATCTTCTTTTATGTTCTCAGAAAAGTAGGCTGACTAGCTTTGACTTCTTCCTAGATTGCTACTATGACAATACATCAAATACATCACATACTATAGATGTAATAGAACATATTTGACCATTACCATAACCACTCAGGATATTGGTTTTTTGTTTTGGTTTTTTTTAATGGTACTGGGGATTGAAGCCAGGGCCTTGTGCATGCTAGGCAAGCACTCTACCAACTGAGCTAAATCCCCAGCACTGTTTCTTGGGTTTTTGACTCTATAAACATATAATCCTAACCATTATCTGTTCTTACTCTACCTTATTCTTTCTTTTTTTTTCCCTACCTGATTCTTTCTGTCCTTGTCTCTTAACTCCAACTTTGAATCTCCTGTTGTAACACTCTTGTATAAATGTCTCCTCTTTCTAGCAGTCATCTACTACCTCCTGGGTCACTCTTTGAAGATTTTAGTTCCTATATCATTGTCACTCACTGCAGCTCTACTCACAACTGTTGAGATACATATGAATGATCCCTTCATCACTTTTCCTCCTACTTCCAATGATTTTCCTTTCCATACTGCCAGAACCAATTGCCTCCATTCATAATCATATTTTTAAGTTTTTTTTTTATTTGCATGCGCTCTCTCCCTCCCCGCCCCTCTGAAATTCTAGCTATGTTGTCTAGGCTGGAACTCCTGGACTCAAGTGATCCTCCCACTTCAATCTCCTAAGTAGCTGGAACTTCAGACACCAACCACCATGCCTGGTTTAAGTTTTTCATTATCAGTTCAACAGTATCTCAATTTTAATCATCCCATTTTCTGATCAATTCTTATCTTTGCATCTAACTCCCTCTAGTAAGTTAACTCCAATAATTTGCCTGCTCTCTCATATAATTCATTTATCCCACTATTTCAAAAGGTAAGAAAATTTATCTTTTTCTTAGCAGCTTAAATTACATTTTTTTAAGTTTTTAGTTGTAGAT